GGAAGGAAAGAACTGACTCCCACAGGTGACCTCTAACCTCTCTACACAAACTATGGCGTGATTGGTCAACTGCCCTTTTCAGTTGTAGTATTTCACTATGTGCTCACTAGTACAGTTTTGGGAAATCAAAATGACATCTAATCTGGCAATTATATATATATATATATTGTGTTTCATTTTTGGTTTATGCAGGTTTAGTGACACTAGTAACAAGATTGCCTTTCTCCTTGGTCCCCTTTTTTCCAACATTATTCCTTCAAGACCTTGTAGTTAATACTTAAACATCTACCACACAATGTGCAGAAAAACATACTGTAATTCATACTAGGTGGGGAGTGTTTGCTTTCTCATAAGCTCAACAATTTACACTTTCTAAGGCTGTTTTTTTCTAGGTGACATATCACAGCATAACTGTGTGGTCTCAGTTTTCTAAAGTACAGGAAAAGCATGCACAAGAATTCATTTATACTTCACAGTGTGGCGCTTACAGGCATGGTCTGTCCTTGATGCAGTTTCGTTAGCATGAGAAAGTTTTCAGACTATTTTTAATGTTCACATCAGTTTGGGCATAATTAAGAAAAAGCAAATGAGAAAAACAAAAGGGGAAATCTCTTTGAGCTATGCTCCTTTGCTATGTACATCAGCAAGCTCAGTAGGCATCATAGTGGATACTACAAAAAGCAGCAAACAACGATGCTTCCATCCACAGCAGCATGAGGTTTTTGTTTTTTTTTGTTTTTTTTTTTTAAAAAAAAAAAAAAGCTACGGTGTTCGCTTGGAAATCTGATCAAAAGGCATGGAAAAACCAGACTTTAAACTATATATGGTTGTTAAGGAAACTTAGCTGTCCTAAAAACCCTTCAGTCTACAATGGTATCCTGCCTGTAAGATATGCTAATAAAATGGTAGCACAAAGCTTATGGGAATAACCAATCAACAGCTGACTTGACTCCATGAGATGAAACCTATTCCTGACCCTGCTTTAGTGACCAAGAACCCCATACTAAATAGACAGCAACCTAGAGTAAAACCAAATACTACTGGGAGTAGGGGGAAAGGCAGTAAAATAACTCCTAATGATATTCTGCTATAATCTGTGCCTTGCTCAATCATAATCAGATAAGCTTCCCCCTGCAGCAGATGGGAACAGATAATATGTGGAGATCGAGAGACCTCAGAAGACTCAGCCCAAAAGGGGATATCTCCATCAAACCCCTCCTCTTAGGGCTCAGAGAACCCTGCGGAAGAAGAGGCAGAAAGAGCATAAGAGCCAAACCGGATGGAAGACTTCTAAACACAGCAGGACCAACACACATATGAACTCACAGAAGCGGAAGAGCACAGACAGGGCCTGCACAGGTCTGCACCAGACGGGGTCCAAGCGCTGAAAGAAGTGGACACATGCCTCAATCCCTAACCCAGAAGCAGTCTCCAACAGATAACCACTTGCAGATGAAAATTTAGTTTGCTCCAAGGGAATCTCATTGGAGAAACAAACTACTCTTAAGCATGTGCTGCAAGCCCGGCAGTAGATGGCCAAAAGAATGCCAACTCAACAGCATCTGTGGAGGTCCCTTATCTTACAATACCCCGTCAAGGCTTTTTCTTTTCTGTTTTATCTTTCCCTTCATTTCCTTCGTATTTCTATGTATGGCTTCAGTTTTATGTATTTATGGGATTCGTGAGAGTGGGAACAAGTGGGTCTCTGCATCTCTGTTTGTTTCTTGTACCTTTCTTGGGCTGTATTCCTTCTGTTTGTTTTGTCCTATTCTGACACGGGTTTCTTATTTTATCTTATTATATTGTATTTTATTATTCTCCCTTAGAAGCCTGTCTGTTTTCTAATGAGAGAGAGAGAGAAAGGGGCTGTTATCTGGATGGCGGGGGGAGGAGATGGGAAGGAACTTTGAGGAGCAGAGGGACAGAAAACCATAATCAGAGATATATAACAAATCTATAGTCAGTAAAATAAAATATAGATAGATAGACAGACAGATAGAACTTAGCTGTCACCTTAGTATACTTAATGCAGTGGTGAGCAAATTAAAACAATTGCAACTACTTTTAAAGAAATCCCTGGAAATATTATGCTCAGATGTGCAATCCACAGTATGATAACTGAACAAATCTTTTAATTTGTATATCTTTTACAATGATGGGAACTTCACTAAATTCAGGTGTCATATACATATTAATTTAGTGTGGTTTATGATTCCTTGTTATCGTTGGCATTGATGGCTTCACTATTTGTGGTTATAACCTTACAATACCAGCATTATTAAGTAAGGACTTATTGTAGGCCAGACACAGTACTAGACACAGGGAGCCTGGATGAAACTGGCAGGGTCTTTGCCCTCAGGGTATTTGAAATGTAGCTAGAAAGATTAGCTGGATGGCTAAGAACAAATGTGGTAAGCTTTACTCGTGAAAAATGACAAGTACAACAGGGGTGTGCAATCAAGTTGTGAGGACATTTTCCAGGAATCCTTCCCATTAGAAAATGATTTTTCCTGATGCTTTATGGTTAAGGACAAGTTCAAATGGCAGGTGTCCACCTTTCTTCCCCCCACTGCTGTGATGAAATACTGACAAAAGGCAACACAATGGAGAAAGGGTCTCTTTTGGCTCAGAGTTCCAGTTTATGATCCATCACAGTAAAGAGCCTGGGACAGCTGGACCCATCCATCTTTAGTCAAGGAGCAGAGAGCAGGAAAGACTCCTGCCCAGCTCTCTCCTTTTCACTCAGCTCAGGAGAAGTGGCACCAGCCACAGTAGGTGAGGCTTCCTGCCTCAGTTAATAATCAGGACAGTCGCCCACAGGCAAGCCTAAAGGCCCACCCCCCACCCCAAGTGATTCTGGATTCTGTAAAGTGGGTAATTAACAGTAACCATGGACAGTAAGGGAGGAAGAGAAGAGGAAATGAATGGAGCAGTTATGCCAGACAACCTTGCCCTTACGAGGAGACACTGTCTGTTCCTGATATTCACTATGGATACTCTATGGACATCACTACGGATGCTCATGACTGGCAATCTGCAACATCTAGAGAACTGTTTCTTGCAGTCTTAATGTTTTTATATTAGACCTCTGTAAGAAACTGGATACTTAACTCTACAAGTCCAAACACAGTCCATATGTCTACCAAACACATTCTACTGAAACTTTGAACTTGGAAGAACACACTCACCCTGCCCTCCTACAGAAGCTAAAAGTAAAAACATGCTTTTTACTTTCACACATTTAGAGCAAGTACAAAGGAGGCAATCATTGACAAAACTTCTTCGTTTTTTGATTTGTTTTGTTTTATTTGGCAGGGACAGGAGTTACTCCTGTGCACATACTTGTGAGTGGTCACCAGAGGTCAATATTGGGTGTGTCTGTCAATTGCTGGACTTACCACATCTTTTTAAAGACAGACCCGCTCACTGAATCTGGAGCTCTGTGATACAGCTAAACTGGGTGGTCAGTTGGCACTCATCTTCCTGCCTCCACCTCCCCAGTTAAAAGACTAGTTTTTATTATGGTCCTCGAGCACATTACTAATGGAGCCATCTCCCAAGCCTTACAGCGTTTCCTAAGAGCACAAATATATGCCTAGGTGGTGAGGAGGGGAATAGGGCCTCTTATCAACGACAGAAGAACACAAATCTCAATCATGACACAATGAATCAAATACAGAATCAGTAAGCGTGAGGCTTCTCTAATAATGGGGAAAAAAACAGAATATGAGCAGTAACTAGCAAGCAGATGTGCAGAAATCATAAGATCTATAATAATGCACCAAGATTCTAGCTTAATGTGTGTGTGTTCGGATTATGGAAACACAGCAGTGTAGGCACCAACTTCATTATAAAGCTTCCCAGTACCTCTCAGAAAGAAAAGGGGTTTTCTGTTAACCTCATTAAGGATAACCTGCTGCCCTTGTGGGGCGGTTTTGTGTGCTGCACATTTTAATGTAGGTAAAACGGCTTTAAATGCAAATCAAATTTTATTTAGAAGTCTTAAGTAAACCATTAGTTACATGTCTTCTGAATCTTTAGAAGATCTAGGAAAACAGCAAACAGGTCAGGTCAATGAATATATAGAAGTAGTACAATTATTTTAAATGGAAACTACATCCCAAATTTTCCAAGAATGCCCAGGCAAAATATGTCTCTCCTTCACAGACACTGATGAAATAAATCAAGCCAATTAACTGAAAAGAGAAAAAAAACCTGAATAATCTTATTTCAAAAGATAATGATGCCCAAAGTCATAACCAATTATTATGAATAATTTCTGATGCCTGAATCACTGACACATTAGGTTCAATCACGTATGCTAAAATTGTGCATGCTACTTATAATATTGGCAGAAATTAATGACTATTAAGCAGCAGTAATAATACACTTTTAACTCTAAACTCTCACATACATACATGTGTCATTATAAAATCATTTTAAAGAAAGCTATTGTTAAGTGAGCATCAAAAACTTTTAAACAGCCTAGGTCCCTCCACTGTACAAAACGTCCAAGGTGGGTCCCTACATTCTGATGTCTACTTTGTGACACTGTTTAGGATAAAATGGAATAAAGGGAGAAAACCCTTCTTTTTGGTGATTTGTGAACCACTTTTAGAGTTCTGAATGACATTAGAGCATGAAAACACGGAGTTTGTCATGCTGACACTGTGGTGCCAACACTGATACCACTATAGGTACGTAGTAAAAAAAGTATTGGAAAAGATCACCTGTAAATGGTGCCTTGCATTCACACAAGAAAAGCACAGAATGAAACCTTCAGAGTGACTACCACAGGAATAGGACTTCATTAACTTTAGCATCACTCAAAAGGATATCAAGTGTAATAGTCAGAAGACACGCATCACCGGCCCTTATTCAGGCAAGAGAAATGTTCTCAGTTCCCTCTGTGAACCAGTCAGATGCTAACAACAAGACAGACACTAAGGCCTTTTTCCTACTCTTAATGGCACTACCAAGAGGGATTATGAAGGCCTTACCAGCAAAGTCTGCAGTAGAGTCCTCTGACTCTCCCACAATGTCTGGCACAGCTCTTTTTCCACGATTAGCCTTCCTGGAACACAATAAGCTACTGTGGGTTACCAACTGTGTTCCGTTTTATTCAACTCGTCTGTGAATGTTGTAAACAGAGTCAGCATGAAACAGAACACACAGTTAACCGCTCCTGAATCTGGAAAACAGAAGCAATGTTCAAAACATAAGCTTCCAATCCCTGCAATGCCTACTTCCAGTTTACTTAATTATTGGTAATACGTACTGAAATCAAATGCCCCAGGCCTGTCAGCAAGAATGAGTCAGAAGAACAGTTTCAAATTTTGATTTGTAATCCATGGAAATGGTCCACGACGAGAAAGCAGATGTATGAAATAACCAGTCTCTCCTCCTTTCTCCCTTGACCATACAGGCACATCCATGCTGTCTGATGATTTCACAGCCCACCAGATTAAAACAGCTTTTTCCATCTAGACGCACAGGCTAAAACAGGGCTACTTGCTACTCAATATAAAAAGATAAACAAAAGATAAAACCCTAAATATTAGTGAAGCATGTATTAGTGAGATTACTGTGTCAACAATTAGTAAGTTCCTGTCTGAGAGCTCTCATTACAGGCATCTCTAATTCTTCTGGGACTTAAAGTCTTCCAGTTAAAACTGTTTGTTAAACGGAACTTTTCTAGAAGCTCGTTGTTCTGATACTCATTGACCTTTCCCATTTGTTTGTCTTTTGATTATTTCAGTCTGTTTCCAAAAAGAGGAAAGAAGGCCCACCTACAATTTGTTAAACATATTAAACATACAAAGCCATTTTAAATGCATGTTTGTTACTTTTAAGTTAGAAGAGAAACCAAATAATGCTAAAATACAATATTATTTGACAAATTGACAAAGTTTAATTAATGAGTTTTCTACTTTAACCACTTGCCCTCTAATTTGTCGTTTTTTTTTTTTAAGAAGTGTATGCTTTACCATGACTTAATTATTTATAATGTGCACTAAAAGCAAATTCTCCAGGCCTGACAGCAAGAATATGAGTCAGAAAAGCTGACTTTTAAATGTTAGTAAATTACATTTTTAAATGTAAGTTATGGATTAATCCGTGGACAAAATAAATGATCAAGTGATTGTTTCTCTTGCAATGTAGTGGACGAGACGTAGGAGTCCTGCAAACTTGGGAGTTTCTGGCTTCACATCTGCAGCTTTTCTGCTCCTCGGCTATGCAGATGCTCTCACAAAGGAACAGCCATGGGAGAAGGCAGAACTCGACACAGACTCCACCAAGACTACTAAGGGCTTTCTCTGAGACATCTGACCATCCTCTCTGAACCTTAGTTACCTCAGTATCAACAGAAGCTACTGGATGACGAGGCCTACAGTCTTTTCTGGGCTCTAAAGTCCACCCAATTCTAATTCCTTCGTAAATAATAACTCATGTTCCACAAATTCAGAATTTACTGACATTCTGAGTCAAGCGGGGACTTAGGGGTGCTGTGGATTATTTACTACCCAGAGCACAAACATGGAAGTGATGTGTGACTAAGGTACCCCTCAGTTAAATTTTTCTGTAGAAAAAGAAAATTATTGAGTAATTTGAAAGGTAAGATGTCACGAAAGATAAAGTTTATTTGCTTAGAATGGCATATTAAACATGGATGATCTCACCAAAAACAAACAAACAAACAAACAAAACTAAGCTAATGTTTAGTTTTAATTCCATTTGCTATTTTTTCTAAGCTATTTAAAGATAACACAAAGCTCTATAATTAATTAGCTCAGCATACATCAGTAGTACCATACATTTAAAGTAAATGAGCACAGTATAAAGACAGGGGGCCTCAGTGCAATAACATGTCCCCCTTGCACAAACTTCCTCATATTTTCCTTGCATTAAAATGAAGTCAATCACTAGGGATGTATATTTGGAGTATTGATTCTTACAATATTCTCAGACAATTTTCCTCTTGTAAGTCAACACTGAAAATGTCTGAACTCTCAGCCTACTTACTAGTTCACACTTTAATTTTTAGTAAATGGTTATACGAAGGTAATTCCTCTACTACTGCTGTGAATTTGTTTCCTCTAAATTAAAAAAATAATAATAACTTCTTGGGAATACTCCATGTGTATTCTCATTGTGATTCTTAATAAACAAAAGCAACACTATCATCTGACTACCTCTCTATAAGATTGTATTCAAAAAGGGAGAAATGTGTTAAGTGATAGCAACAAAAATCATTACCTTTGGCCTTGACCCTATCATTCCTAAGCAGAGCAGACTTAGGAAGTCCTTACGCCAATCTCTTGTCTTTCCCATCCCTCCTGTGCAATCAACATGAGAGGGAAAGCCTGCCTAATCCTGGGGCAAACCGTCATGAAGAAAGGAAAGTTCATCCAACTGTGCTCATGTTTTTATCGACCTACAGTTAAAACAGGTCTCAGTGTACATTTAGAAGTACATTTACAAGTTAGAGTAACAACGTCAACATCACGATTACAAATTATTATGGACAACTGCATTACCGATGAACTTTTTCTACAATGTAAAGGCTTTTAAATATTAAGGCAAGCTTTTTTTTGAACTGGAAACCCACATAAAAAGGGAGACAAAAAACATCAGCAAGTTGCACTTCAGCCTTGATTTTTAAAGTTTAAAAATTCTGTTGATATGCATTCTTCCAGAAAAACTACACACACTGTTTGATTCTCTGCAGAACTTTTCTACAGGCTGCTTCTGAAAACATTACCACAGAACAGGAAATGATTACAGATTACAGATAAGAAACTTAAGGAGAGAAGCCATGGCCGTGAGTGCTATGCGCATGCGCTCACTGACAAGCACATGGAATTGCCTGGGTGTGCCGGAACCTCCTTCCCAGCAGGAACACGTGCAGAAATCTGCATATGAACATTTTCTCAAACTCTTCAAAAGCCACAGGTCAAGGCTAGGGTTTCAAGAACTATATAGCTATTGCCAAGACCGCAAAAATTTGTGTTTAGTTCAAAACTCAACCACATCCTGGAAAGTTCCAGCCCAGCTTCAGGTCCCCAAATCCCTTCATTTTCCTGTACAACCACTTCTCCTCTATAAAGATGCCTTCAGCATCCTGCGTGCCTAGAGTCACACTTTTTCACTGCTCAAGAATCTCTACGAGTGTCTAGTAACTTCAGGATTAGACCATAAATAACTTCATCTTAAGAATTCAAGATGGATTAAATTAACCAAATATAAAAGCCTGTCCTAAAGACCATCTATTTCAATTCTGAAAAACCATATTTTGTTTTAAAAGGGCTGGAGAGATGGCTCAGTGACTAAGAGTACCAGTTGCTCTTCCTGAGGTCCTGGGATCAATTACCAGCACTACATGGTGGCTCACAATTTAAAAAAAGAAAAAAAGAAAAGAAAAGAAAAGAATGAAAGAAAGAAAATGAAAAAAAAAGAGTAATTTTTTCTAAAGCCTATTTTAATCTTAAAATTATACAAGGCTACATCACAAATAACATTTCCCTTGAATAGGTAGACTAATGAAGCCCTAAGAAGGCTCTTTATTAGAATGAATAATAAAAATCATCAAGTTTACATAGTTCATTTTATCAAAGAACTTTACAACAATTAAGAGCACAGGCTTGATGGGCAAGGTGGTGCAGGCCCTTAATTCTAGCACTCAGGAGGCAGAGGTAGGCAGAGTTTGAGGCCAGCCTGGTCTACAGAGAAAGATGTAGGCTAGCTAGGGCTACACAGTTGGAGGGGGAGATGAAAAAGAAAAAAGAAATCAGAAAAGGCAAACTTACAGGAAATTATAATATTAAACCAACCACATCCCAGGTCAAACAATAATCCCTGTTTTTAAAGAGGATTTTTTGTTTCTTAACTAAAGAGGGGCCAGCATCAGATGACAGCAAATATTGCCTGTTCCTCTAAGCTTAGCGAATGACTCTTACTGAGCCAAAGGAGTCAATGAACCATGCAATTATATTCTAGCAAGTCATCTCTATTTATGCTCAGGTAACTCCTGGTCATCACTATTGTTAAAGATATAATTTCATTTTGTTTTTACTACAAATGAACATAAGTCTATAAAAACTATCTCATAAAGTACTACACAGGTAATTTATGTTAGCCATATATGTTTTTATGCAATATGCTGATATAGCTACACTAACCACATCTTCACCAAATTCTTTTATTACCTGTATGGCTTTACTTGGAAGGGTGACAGCATGTCACGAGGGGCATGGGGGTCTGAGGAAAGCTTGCAGGTAACTCTTCTCCCACTCCTGAGGCTGTGGGTCCTGAAGATAACTAAGGTCTTCAGCCTTGGCACCAAGTTCTTTAAAGCACTGAGCCATTTCTCAGAGGCTCCAACTGCATGTTTTATTGTTCTACTTTTACTACATATTTACACACTTATATTCTTTTTTGCAATAGAAAAGAAAAAAAAAAAAACACGAGTCTCCTATGACTTGTTACCTGGTATTTCACGGCCAAAATACAAAAGGGCAGCACCCATGTCAAACGTGTCTACAGGACACTGGGCTACTGGGGTCCTGATATTCTGAAGTGCATTGTGCTATGGCCAAAGGGCCCTCATGAGCTTTCTCCAAACTTCTCTAGCTATAAACTTCTATTAAATCTTGGAAAATCCTGGTAATCTATTGGACATGGCTTGGTGAACAGATGATCAAAATGTTTTATTTTAGTCCTAATTCTGGCAGGTTTTGATTAGCAATTCAATAGCATGGATTAGAAGCTCCCTACTCAGTTAATATAAAAATCTAAAGCACAAATTTTAAAACTCAGCTTAGAAGTCTAATTGTGCAGGCCACTCACATACCTTCAGCTGTGCTGATTATCAGAGTATTGCTTTAGTTATTCCAGCTATTAGAGAACTCCTTCTCAGGGCACAAGGCAATTCTTCAAGCCTTGCCTAATGATACCCCTCATTAATTCTACTCTAGAATTCACACTGCTGCACCTCTGTCTTTTCTGTCGTCTGTTCCTTACAGGT